CCAGAGGCTTTGGAAGCTGAAATCCGCTTTGCCGAGATGGTGAAGGCGCACCTGAAGGGTACTCCTAGCTCTTCTGCCCCTGCGGCTTCAATTCCTCCTACCCCAAGTCCTACTGTAGTGGATGCTTTTGAATTAACTCCCTTCGATCCGAAGAGGAAGTAGAACCATGTATTTTGTTTTTATGGACAGCATGTTTGGGATAATGAATATAATTTTTTGTTTTAGGCTTTCAATACCTGACTTGTTTTTGCTGTATGCTTTTGATACTGCTCATATTTTTCTGACTGGTAATGTGTTTAAACAATAAACATTGTCTTATGCTTCGGATTTATACTATCCGAGAAAAAGCAAGGATGGTGGGAAGAAGGAGATCCTTTTAACAGTTTAGTTGGTATCTCAGGATGATTCATATGGACAATGATTTAACTGTTAAATGAACTCTCCTTGCCTTTTACTTGCCTGCAGTAGACGTATACATACTCTTTCCTTCTCGTGTGTTCCTGATGTGGGGTGGATCATGATCCACATCCACAGGGTGTTAAACACTTGGATTCCGGAGGTAAGAGTTCTGATCCGGGCACCAGAGGTCTGAAGCGAATTATTCCTCGGCACTGAGTGTGGAGGAATATTGTTGAATAGGACACTTAGGGTCGGACACTTAGGATTCAAGGCAAATTGTCCCTCGGCACTGAGTCGTGGAGGAATAGTGCTGAATAGGACACTTAGGGTCCGAAGCTGCCTCGGACACTTAGGGTCCGAGGCAAATTAAACACTCCCTGGCGCGGAGCCAGAAGGGAGGTTTTACCGAGCCGGACACTTAGGGTCCGAGGCAAGATTTTTGCCGAGCCGAACATTTAGGGTCCGAGGCGAGATTTTTGCCGAGCCGAACACTTAGGGTCCGAGGTGAATGACCTACTCCCCGGCACTGAGCCTGAGGGGAGGTTTACATGAATTACTCCCCGGCGCTGAGCCAGAGGGGAGGTTTTGCCGAGCCGGACACTTAAGGTCCGAAGCTGCCTCGAACACTTAGGGTCCGAGGCGAATTAAACACTCCCTGGCGCGGAGCCGGAGGGGAGGTTTTGCCGAGCCGGACACTTAGGGTCCGAGGCGAATTAACTACTCCACGGCGCTGAGCCTGAGGGGAAGTTTGTTTATATTTTTCCTCAAACAACTTATCATGAGGCCAAGGATTCAAAAATGATAAGAGGCCAAGAAAGCGAGTAACAGTGGCTGTGAAGTTTCCCATTTATTGACTTTGGAGACCTTCCTCCTCCACTGATACTCCCTTCTTGGCAACCAAATGTTGTGGATCACGCATATATGAACCGCATTTCTTTTCTATTTCTATCCGATGTGGGATATAGACTAAATTTTGTCAAAAAGGTCGGTGTAAGGAATGCCTCTGGTATCGAGCTTGACAACCTTAAATACCAGTGGGCCCTCCTTACACCGTAATTAACTATTTGAATATTCCCACATATAACAGAATGTAGCATATACTTTTTTGTCGATGTGGGATAGAAAGTTTTAAGCATTGGCCAAAACTCATGTTTGTTTTTTTCTTAAAAATCATTGTGACAAATGCTTTTTAGCAGCATGCTTCTAATTGCATAAAAATTGCATAGTGCGACTTGGCATGCCTAAAAATTGCCTAATGCGACGCATGCATAAAAGTTGAATAATCACAGAGTAGTATGGCCCCCATTTTAATAGAAAGAAATAAATAGAGTAGAGTTGTACTGAATATAGAAGCAAAATAAAGAGAAGTTTGGCTGACTGTGGACATACTCAGCCTTATTTGTGAAGAATTTGCAGCAAAATTGACAAACTTAACTAATGGAAATACCTTTTAAGGTGTATTGCGTTCTAAGGATGCGCAATGGGACGTCCGCCAGCTTCGGCCAAACGATATGCTCCTTTCCCCACTACTTCGGTAACCCTGTAGGGTCTGGTCCAATTAGGTTCCAGTTTCTTTACATGAGCTGTCTCCTGCTTCAAAACCCAATCGCCTACCACAAAGCTCCTGAATCTGACGCGTTTGTTATAACTGTTACACACCTGCTGTTGGTATGCCGCGAGCCGAATTGCTGCTGCATCTCTCCTTTCGTCCACAAGATCAAGGCTATGTTCGAGTTGTTACTCATTGTTCCCTTCCAGTACCAAGGATGTCCAAAGGGTTGGGATTATGGACTCGGTAGGAATGACAGCTTCGGATCCATATGCCATAGCAAATGGGCTTTCTCCTGTGGGTCGTCTTGGAATGGTTCGATAGGCCCAGAGCACTTGAGGGAGATTCTCGTACCACTTTGTCTTCAATTTCTCCAATTTTTTCTTTAAGCACCCGAATATCGTGCGATTAGTTATTTCAGCTTGCCCATTGCCTTGTGGATGACTAACTGCAGCCAATTTTTGCAGGATTCCATGTTCGCTAAAGAACTTTCTTGTACTTCTGTTATCGAGGTTCTTACCATTGTCCATTACGATGACCTTTGGTACCCCAAACCGGCAAATAATGTTGCTCCAAATGAAATTCTTTACTTCTTCGTGGGTGACGCTAGAGAAGGCTTCAGCTTCCACCCACTTGGTGAAGTAATCCGTAGCCAGAAGCACATGCTCCTTTTTTTCCATGGTTTTGGGTAACGGTCCTACTACATCAATCCCCCATTGGGCGAACGGCCATGGATTAGCCATGGCGTGCAAACCTTCGGCAGGTTGATGCTTTATTGGACCATGGCGCTGACACTTGTCACATCTTCTTGAGTATTCTTTGGCATTCCGAGCCAAGTATGGCCAAAAATAACCTTGGGTTAGAATTTTGTGTGCAAGGGATCTTCCTCCCGAGTGATTTCCACAATCTCCTTCATGAATTTGTTTTAGAATTGTGAGAACCTCAGTGGGGGTTAAACACTTGAGATAAGGACCGAAGAATGACCTTCGGTACAACTGGTTATTGATGATTGAATACTTAGCCGCGGTAAGCCTAAGCTTCCTTGCCTCAGCTTTTTGATTTTGGAGAACTCCCTCCTTGAGGTAGGCCTCGATTGGATCAATCCAGCATGGCTCGCGTGGAACTTCCGGGATTACCATCACCTCTTGCCGGGGATTAATGCTGGGTTCTTCGAGAACGTCGATTGGAACAAGCCGAATCAACTCTTCGTCTGAAGATGATGCGGCTGCGGCCAATCGATCTGCGTCGGCATTTTCATCTCGTGGTACCTGATGGAATTCGATTTGATCGAACTCCCGGATAGCACTTTCTACAGCATCTTTGTATGACTTCATACGTTCCTCCTTGGGAGAATAGTGCCCTGTCACTTGATTGATCACAAGCTGTGAGTCACTAAAAACTTTTAAACACCGTACCTGTAGCTGTTTAGCTAGCCGAAGTCCGGCAAGCAACGCCTCATACTCGGCCTCGTTATTAGTAGTTGGGAAATCTAGTAAAATTGACTGCTGCAGCTTGGTACCCTTAGGTGTTGTGATGTCAATCCCGGCCCCTGCCCTTTTCTAGTTGGAAGCGGTGGAATGAAGAACGCAGAAGTGCAGCAAGGGCGAATGTAACTCTTGTAAAATCTTGTATGACGGAGTAATAATGAAAGACCTCGAACCGTTTCTGAAGCAAAGTAAAAAACCGGTTTCAATTCCCTCTTTAATAGGAGCCGTCACTCAATTAAAAATGAAATTTGGGGCAAAGTGTGGAGGAAAAAAAACTCCCTCCAATAAAAAGCGCACACGTCACCACTACACATATCTACATTCCAAGGACATATAAGGCCCATCATGCTCAAGCCTAAATTGAGGGTATTTACAGCCCAAGACCATTGTTATTTGTCCTCCAACCTCCATCAAGGCCGAATCAAGAGGTCATCAGCCCAACTTGTTAATATTTAACATTCGGTCTGTTACTCAAGCCCAGCCGGATCAAAATATGTTCAGCCCAGTTATTCAAGAATGCACAAGTCCTACCAGTTGAAGGATTTACTGTAGAAGGAAAATTCTGAGATAGGAAGTTCTGTACAAGGCAAGTTCTATGTATGGAAAATTAGACAATGGAAAGAACTCTATTAGTAAAGAATGTTTATATAGAAAGAATTGGAGGGCAAGCAACGCGAGTCCTACCATAATTTTACAATCTTTTGTATATAAATAGAGGCTAAGACCTCTAATAAATGATCAAGCAATTCTACGCTTCTCTATACACTGTTCTTATTTATTCTTATTGTTTTTTGAGTGTGTTGTTCTATTTTTCTCAATCCCAGCCCCTTGCTGCACTTCTGCGTTCTTCTTCCCACAGACGGCGCCAAAGTGTAAGTGCAAAATTTCGCTCAACCAATAATGATTGAGAAAAATAGAACAACACACTCAAAAAACAATAAGAATAAATAAGAACAGTGTATAGAAAAGCGTAGAATTGCTTGATCCTTTATTGGAGGTCTTAGCCTCTATTTATATACAAAAGATTGTAAAATTATGGTAGGACTCGCATTGCTTGCCCTCCAATTCTTTCTATATAAACATTCTTTACTAATAGAGTTCTTTCCATTGTCTAATTTTCCATACATAAAACTTGTCTTGTATAGAACTTCCTATCTCAGAATTTTCCTTCTACAGTAAATCCTTCAACTGGTAGGACTTGTGCATTCTTGAATAACTGGGCTGAACATATTTTGATCCGGCTGGGCTTGAGTAACAGACCGGATGTTAAATATTAACAAGTTGGGCTGATGACCTCTTGATTCGGCCTTGATGGAGGTTGGAGGACAAATAACAATGGTCTTGGGCTGTAAATACCCTCAATTTGGGGTTCAGCATGATGGACCTTATATGTCCTTGGAATGTAGATATGTGTAGTGGTGACGTGTGCGGTTTTTATTGGAGGGAGTTTTTTTCCCTCCACAGCAGAGAAACGCGCTCATCTAGAGTTCCGCAAAAAATTATTAGCGGAATCTATTACAAACCTCATCCAAAGTTTATGGTTTTAATGCCCCCGTTTCCAACAGTACACCCACCCATGGGGCACGGTGAACTTGATTATCTTACCGCGGCAACCAACGGCTGTGATGGGTCTTTAGATTTCTTGCCTGATGGGTTTTTGGCCCGGACTAAGGATGTGGGCCTGGTGGTCACGTATCAGTAGGAAGATTTTTATCACATTGTGGGTGGAATTCAGCTCTATAGAGCATTGTCAATGGAGTGCCACTAATAACATTGCCACTGTTTGGAAAGCACAATATGAATGATGCTTTGCTGACGGAGGAGGTCGGGGTGGCGTATCGGCCAAAAGTGTCGCCGTCCAAGGGAGTGGTGACGAGGGAGGAGATAAAGAAGATGGCGAGGTTAATCATGGAGGAAAATGGAATGAACTCTAAAAGAGCTAAAGTGAAGGAACTAAAAAGTAGTGCAATGAATGCTTTGAGCAATGGGGGGTCCTCTTACAATTCACTATCTCAAGTGGCCAACAATTGCCAAATGAAATTAAGTGAGCAAGTAATTTGCTCTGACTGAAACCAAGGGCTTATTTTTTTCGGTTACTATGTATCTTTTGCTGCCCACCCTCTAATAATCTTGAAGCATTTTATTTATTATAATCAGTATGGGAGAGAAGTGAAAGGAAGGAATTGAGCATTATTTTTTCCTTTATTACCTATAGACACCCAACATTCACAACGAAATTTTTTTTTTTAACATCAAACTTCTACTTTGAAATGTAAAAAAAAGTACCACTATGTTATATATAGGCTTATAGCTAGCCTTTGATCCCACGCTTGTTACTTGCAAGTACATAGATTGTGAGAGAACTTGGACATACAAATCAAGTGAACTGAAAATATATTTAAGAATAAAAAGGATTTTTCTAATAGCAAAACCCAAATGGGGTACATGGTATAGGAATAAAAAATGGGTTCATTTTAAAATATTTACACATGGGTTTGATCTTTTGGGCTGGTGGGCTTGATTTGGTAATTTTCAGCCCAATTAGCAAATTTTTTTTTTTCTTTTTTTAATTTTTTTTTAAACAATCTTATTTTTGCATGGATAAATAATAATAATAAAAAAATAAAAATATTGGGAATCTATACGATAGAAAACTGAAGTATAATAAAGATTATCATCTTGAATTTGCACAAATAAACAAAGTGCATTATGTAATTTGAGTCTAAAATCGCTGTGATCAGTCAAATATAACCCCATGACTGATGTGCATACTCTGTAATCAGTTATGAGTAGAAGTTCAAAAACATGTTTAGAGTTCAGTGCTCAAGGTTTGATTATTCAGAACAGGTATAATTCTAAGCCTTACATGCTTTTAACAGTTACTTGATTGAGTTAATGCTATGGTTTGAGAGCATCGAATCGGCATTTTGAATTTAGAATTGGAACCGGACATAATTTAGTTCCTAGTTTCAACTAATTTTTCTTCAATTCTAATTCCAAGATGTTGATTCTGCCCTCCCAACCACAAAATAGGCATACAATGACATTCCAGGGATTATTTGTCAACTAGTTATTGTCAAAACCTCATAGTAAATTTTCCGCTTGCAGTTCTTTGTTTTTGTTTTATTTTTTTTTTATTGGGTTTTTTCAATCCATGTTTTCCTCATATAGGCCTTAATTTACCATATTTCTCTGCAATTTTGGGTGTCTTTTTTTTCCTTTTCCTTTTTCTTTTCTTTTTTGTCTTAAAATAAATATATCCTCCACTGCTAGTTGGACCTCTTTAAGTTTTCCCATCATGTTATACACACTACTACAACAATTGTGTCAAATCGAAGATGAAACAAAAATGCTATGTTTGGCATCATTTCTTTAGATTTGGAATGGGAGAAAATTTAGTACAAGTTTGAACTAAACTTTCTCCAATCATAAATCCAAGACACCAATTCGGTGCTCCCAAACTTAACTGAAGTTAATAGATGGTGCATGATGACAATTAGTCATGGGAGTGTATTTGTATTCTGAAAGTGTCAAATGCTCACACTCACAAAATTTTGCATAAAAACTTCACAATATTTATAAGATAAGTTTATGTGGTATGAATTTCCATTCCATTATATTTAATTATAAATAGTGAACAGAAAGGTTATAGAGGTTTTTCCTAAAGACAAGGCAGGGAAAGTGGAACATATAGTTGCGAAATCTCTATAATGTATTAGTTCCAATTGACATCACAAAATTTTATGTCCTCCATTTTCTTACTGGGAAGGGCAAGGTTGGGGAATCATAAGAATTTCACGTAACATATTCTTTTCTTTCAAAGAAACATTGTGGCCTTGATTCTTTGACCTTCTAGTTGGATGTCCTACCTTGTTATTTACTTGAGGTCCGAGTCAGATGATGCTTTAGATTTTTTTTCTACAGTGGTGAATGTAGCTATAAACTATCATGTGTTAAATAATGCAGACTGCATTTGCTTACTTAGTTGCCAATTCTTTCCTTTTCTTTTCCTTCCCCCCTCTTTCAAAGCAATGGCAGATGAAGCTTCATAAAGTCCAAGTCTGAATGTCCTGGTGGATGAAGAGACGAATCAAGTTGTTTTTGCCGAGTCCAATAATGATTTCGTTGATGTTCTCTTCAGCCTCATGACTATGCCTATTGGAACCATTATTAGACCCTCACGTGAACAAGCATCAAAATGGGAGATTGGTTGCCTGAACAACTTATATCAAAGTATTGAGAATTTTGACGATAACCATCTCCAAACTGTGGAGTGCAAGGACATGCTGCTTCGTCTTCGGAGTGCTGCTGAAATTTACTTTACTGCAGAAACCTTAAACTAAATTATGTTCATACTACTACTAATGATTACTATGCATGTGGATATGAGACAACACAATGCACTTTGTTTCTCTCCCCCACGCACACATATAGATTCTGAAAGGTGTCTTTAATTTCATCGAATTTACAAAAATTGATCGAAACCACTCTTCCTGGTCATCCATCAAAAACCACCTTTGAATTTGCACAACAAAAATTGTTTAATTTCTTGAATTTTCAGTTTCAAGAATACAAGCCCCAAAATTTAAAACTCATCTCAATTGAATCTTTTTCATATATATATATATATATATATTATAAAACTAACTCTTGATTTCAAAGATGAGAGAAATATGAAAGAAAAAAAAAAAAAAAAAAAAAAAATTGATTGTAGAAGCAAAGAAGCGTGAGATTAGGCTCGAGACAAAGGAGGATGAAGAAGATGGCTTCAATGTCTGTGTGTGTAAAGAAGGAAGTCATCTTCTTCGCCATCCATTGCCTCGGTGACGATATCTCTCTTTCCACAATTACTTAAATTCACAGCACGTACTGTTTGGTCACGTAGAAAAAGGCGTGCAAATAAATTATATAAACTACTCCAATATATATATATATAGCAAGTTATTTTGATTCATTAGTATATCTTTAGGTTTGATCTTTCGGCCTGGCGGGCTTGGTTTGGTAATTTGAAGCCCAATAGTAGTATTTTCCCTACCCAAGTCCAACCTGATCCAGAGTCATATAATGTAAATCTAAATCTAAATCTAGTTTTCAAGCATATATTATATGGAAAATCACCATTAAGTCTCACTTTTGAAATCTGTTTTTCTCCACATAAGTTTTTAATGTCTCAATCTTTCATTTATACCATTCTTAAATTAAAACTATTTTTCTATAATTATATATATATATATTTGTGTAAATTTTAATTTGTCATTAAAAATAACTTTTTAACTATCCAAACATGTTTTAATATTTTGTTATCGATTGACACTCCCCACCCTCATTTTATAAACTTAGCTATTAAATATTCATCTTTCTAAAATATAAGAAAATTCATTCATATGCTTTTCAAATAATAAACAGCATTGCTATTTTAGAGAATGAAGCAAATCTTTTTAAATTAAGAACACTCAAATTGTATAAATATTCAACAAATTGAAAGTATACAATTCCATGTTATATATATATATATATATATTGCCATGTTATATATATATATATTTATTGCCTCGCCATTTATTCTTATATTGGATGCCGTTTCTTTACGGTAATATTGAATTATAATTTTATTAAAAATTATTTTATTTCCTACAAATTTCAAAAAAACCATCTCAATTCATCCTCTTGATACTGAGAAGTACGTATTGGTAATCTTGGTTAATATTTAATAAATTAATAATACTATGCCACTAATACAATAAGAGCAATAAAATATTTCTCTGAGAGAGGTTGTCTCATCTCTGCCAATTCTCTGGCAGAGACTTGGACCTTGGACTTGCTTTTTTATTTTTATTTTTGCCGTAATTAAAATTAAAGGGCTCGAACTCTTATCTTTTGCTGTATCTATTTTTGAAAGAAAAATTTCTTATTTTTGTTGATTTTATTTACATTGTAAGAACAAATGTCAATTAAAATTGAACACCAACCAACAGTTACTTTGAAGAGGATTAGTCAATTCACAATGCAGTGTTAAAATAAACATAAATAAATAAATAAATAATTTCAAATACTTAATTTCAGAGTAAAGTATTATAATAGCAACACAACCAAGTAAACACCCCAGGACTCTAGGAATAAGAGGATTTTTCTAAGCAAAACAAGGACAACTAAAACTCTGAGATAGTTACAGCCCAAAATGATCAATGAATACCATAAAACAAAATAATATTAATATAATAAAATTGATGGACATAAAACAACTAAAATAGTATTAATAAATATAATGCATGTAAAATAAATAGATTTTAAGATTGGAGTTCAAGAATACTGAAATAGCTAAAAACCAACCTACGATCAATCAAACAGAAAAGGGTGTTTCAATGTAACTATGGAGGAAAGAGTGTCTCAACGTAACTATGGATACAAGAATGTGTACCCCACCAAGCATCATAACAAGACGTAACAGGATGTCTTGATACAAGACTCTTCTTAAAAGTGTTCTCCTTAATGTTGTAGGAGATGATCATATAATTCATCTCTGTGCGTACAATAAGTACCAAAAACACATCCCCTTTATCTTCACCATGGATTAAACTAAGAGACAACCATCTCCCCCTCTAATGCAAGAAGAGGCAAACTCGATACTTCACTGACCACTTGGAGTAATTGTAATACCCCTGATTTTAAAAGGATAGTCTCGGTATTTTTTTAAAAAAAAAA